CCTAGGTTCCTAACATATGGCCAAGAACAGATGGACTCTTGCTTAGAATGGCTTTGTTTTGGAACATTTATAACATTGGGCAAACAATTGAGTTACCCTAGCACTTGGAAGTGAGCACCAGGATTAGTAATTTGTCTTTGAGCCAACTTCTCTGCATTCGTTTCCTTTCCTCCTGTGTGGTTAATAAGAGACTTGAAATAGCAGTCATATGAGGGTTTAATACTGTCTTTGCCTACTTGGACTGGCAGGATAAAAATACCATAGTCTGGTTACTTAAAAAAGAGAAATTAATTTTCTTTCAGTCTTGGAGTCTGGAAGTACAAGATCAAGATTCTAAAAGGGCTTGGTTTCTGGCAAAGGTTTCTTCTTATATTGCAGACAGCTGCCTTCTGACTCTTTCCTCATGTGGGAGAGAGAATAAGAGCTCTGGTATCTCTCCCTGTTATATATGGGCATTAGTTCTAATGGATCGAGGCCCCACCCTATGTTCACTTAACTGTAATTACCTCCTTAAAAACTTTCTTTCCAATTTATTCACAGCAGACTATGGAGTCACCATATGATTATTCAGGGCATAACTTGCCTTTAGCAAGTTTTACAATAGTAAATGGAAGTTCTTCTGGATGGAAGATAGTCCAGCGGTTCGGGAGGATGACCCGGGTTAGATTCCCAGCACCACATGGCCCCTGAGCATCTCTGGGTGCAGCATTAGAGTTCCCCATCTTGGCTTGGGTATCCCCCCCCCGCAGCAGGGCCTGAACAGCATTACATTCTCAGGCCTCCGCACTTATGACTCTTCCTGAGAACTACTTGGGGAGCCCCCTTGCCAAAATAAGGTTTTTTTTTAGAAACCAGAGAGGTAGTACATCATGTAAGATGCTTGCTTTGCATGCAACTGACCCAGGTTCAATCCCCAACAACCCATATGATCCCCTAAACACCATAATAAGTTATTCCTGAGTACAGAGCCGAGAGTACCCACCCTGAGCATCACCAGGTGTGGTCCCAAAACAAAAAAATAATAAGTTTTCTTTAATAACTTTTCATGTATGAGGAGTATCTGCAGATAGAAAGACAACTTCCTCAAATCATCAAGTAAGGAGGCATCAGGAAATGACGACTACAACCTACCGGTGCTAAGCTAATTGATACACCATTTTACTTCCATTCTGTTAGAAATGGGGTATTACTTTGAATCTCTTGTCAATTGTGTAGACTTACTGCCCTCCAATCTTTTCTCTGTCTTAACTAAGTAATCAATTAATGATATATTCTTTTTTAGAAATCACCAAGAGGACCCCCACAAGCTGTTTCTTTTCCATAAACAAAAATAGAAACTATCATTTTTTTCATCATGTGTGGAGTCTATCTAAAATCTATAATCACATAGACTTCTAAGATAAAATATCAAAAGGCCCCTTGATTTGGTCAATCTTTTTTTGAGATAATCTTTGCTATCATGGGGGATTAATCACCTAAATAACATGACCTTGAGACTTTTCTCTCTTTTTTCCCCCATTTAATTGGGGTATAGAGCACCTTAATATTCTAATGCCCTGTGCTATCTTACCTGACTTCTATAATCCCAGGATGATAGTAAAAAATATAGCCTATTTTATGATCCTGCTCACATTAAGACCATATAAAATAACTGACTTTCAGCGAGTGTTTCCAAACTGTACTTTCATCAGAGATGCTGGTTTGGTCTCCCCTCAGTTTTCAAAGGAAAACCAACATGATCTTGGGTCATTAGTAATAGATACGAAGGGTAGTCTTGGTGATCCTAATTATGAGCATATATATTCTAATTTTAATTTTTAGTTTTTTATAAAAATTTCTATTTCTAAAATGTTTATTTTGATTCCAAGCCTTCATTGTTTTTGAGATGATTAGGATTACTCATGTCTGGCTGTGGTACTCACACATTTAGTGGTGGTACTCACTAAGGGTCACACATCAGTTTGTGGTGCTTCCACTCAGCCTCAGTGAGCATTGAGTATTGCATTTCTTTAATTGTGCTTGCAAATGTGCTCACCAGGTGCCCCCCTCTTTAGTGGTGTGCTCATGTGCATTTTCATTGTTGTGCTCATTGGAGAGTACCATCATGCTCACACAAATGCTCACCAGGGGTCTTCCACCCAACCTATGGTACCCTCACATCTTTTAGTGGTGCTTACCGGGCTCACACCTCTTTTAGTTGTAGTGCTCACACATACATGACTGTGGTGTAAATAGAACTTTTTGGAGTACAAGAGATCATCCATAGCAGAGCTTCAAGGTTCAAACAGCAAAGCTGCTGACATCAGGCTCAGTGAATATGGAGCCATGAGGGGATTGAATTTGCAACCTTACATTTGAAAGCAGGCTTCCAAACCCACAGAGAAGTCCCCCCAGAGCCCCATCATCAGTCACTTCTAATACTCTGAAGCCTCAGGAACTTGGGGAATTAATTCCTGTACCTGTGAAAGCCAGAATAATCTTAGAATGTAATGGTCATAACATTTTAGAAAGATTTTTTGATCTCAAATTACTCAGGTCATTTCTAGAAGACTGTAATAGATATGTAAGCCTTACAATGAGTTTCTCCTTCATGCTTTTATTGCCAGTCTTATTTTATTTTTAATTATTATTTAATCATTATATTTTAATAATAACAAATATGATTGTTTTGGGGAGACCCCTGCTGTGCTCTGGGATTAATCCTGACTATGTTCTTAGGAGCGATAGCACAGCAGGTAGGGCATTCGCCTTACAAGCGGCCAACATGGCCGACCCGAGTTCGATTCCTCCGCCCCTCTCGGAGAGCCCGGCAAGCTACCGAGAGTATTCGATATGCCAGACACAGTAACAACAAAGTCTCCAATGGAGACATTACTGGGCCCGCTCGAGCAAATCGATGATCAACGGGAGGGCCTTTACTTTACTTTTTACTTTATGTTCTTAGGCATCACTCTAGTAGTGCTTCGGGGACCATATGTGGTTCTCAGATGGAACTCAGGTTGGCTACATGCTAGGAAAATGCCTTCTCCACTGTACTATCTCTCTGGATCCAGCGTCAGCTTCTTGAACCAATAGTAAAATAATTAAGGGTGACAGGTTAAACAGCATGTGCCTAGGTTTTCTATAAAAGAGCTAACGGGAAAAACTGAGATTGAAGGAACAGCAGGTGAATTGTCTTACAATGACCTCTAGTTTGGGAACAGCACATAAAAAAATTATAAATTGAGGTCTGAGAGGCATCTGGGTCATGGACATTGGTCTTTTAAAGTTTCTTAATTATTTAAGATCCAAATTCTTCCTGGTGAAACTGATGAGTTAAAAAATCTCATATTTCTTTTGTAATTCAAGAAAGCTAATATTTAATGAAATATCAAAAATAGACTAGAATTTGGGGCTGGAGAAATAACAGAGCGAGTAGGACATTTTGCCTTGCAAGCGGCCAACCCGGGTTCGGTTCCCAGCATCCCATATGGTCCCCCGAGCACCGCCAGGAGTGATTCCTGAGTGCAGAACCAGGAGTCACCCCTGAGCATCGCTGGGTGTGACCCAAAAAGAAAAAAAAGACTAGAATTCAAATAAAGTCATTATTCTACTTTAAAAGATTCAAATATTCCTTTATTAGAAGAAAAATCAAAATCCTTACAGATCTTACTTAACTGAGGTGTCAGCAAGCAAATTGCACCAACCCTAGTTTTTGTATGATAGCCTGGTAGTTAAGAATGATTTACACATTTTTAAAAATTATGGGTGGCTAAAAATTAAAACAATGTTTTGTGAGGTGAAAAATACACAAATTTCAAATTTTATGTCCATAAATAACCCTTCACATACTGTCTTGAGCTGCTTTCATATGGCTACAACAGCAGGGGTGAGTGATTGTGACAGAGACCATATGGCCCACAAAACTCAACATATTTACTAGCTGCAGCTTCATGGAAAAATTTTGCCAACCCTTTTTCTATACAACCTGCTCTCCTGACTACGTCTCCTATACCTTCTTCCACTTCTTCTGCCCTCAGAACCTTTTCTTTAACCATACACTTCTTTCATTTCTTCAGAACGTCAGAGAGTTTTCTCTCCTTTGGGACTTTGCATTGATCTTTCCCTTTGGCAAAAGCACCATTCCTTAGAAAATCACTAATCTGATAGCTTTCCTTCCTTCACTTATTTGCAGGTCCAGTATAAAATCGGACGTCCTGCTCAGACATTAATATGGAATTTCAAGACACCTGCAGCACAGCATTAAATGAAAGACAAAGGTCCTTTGCACTCTCTCACTATCTGGGATCAAAACCACAGCCTCCTCCCATAACTGGCAAGAATTCTCTAGATAATGTCCAACTCTATCAGGTCATGGAGCCTGGTAACTGTTGGATGCTGGCAATCATGAATCCTGATCACTTTCCACACTCTCTCCAATTTGGAATAGAGTTCTTCTTGAATGCTAGAGACTGTATACTCCTCCTTACCATTTCAATTGGTGAAACATAGGGTCCCTAATCCTCATCCAGTCCCACATGGAGCACCAGAAATAATAGAGTCTTTACCATCTGCAGATAATTTATATGTGAAGACAGGGAGGAAAAAGTTTTTAAAAATATTTCCAATAGGGAAAATACAGCATTTTGAGATATTTCTACAAAGGAATGTTTCCACATATATATTTATTTATGGGTTCTTATCTGAGATCTTATATCTTTTCTCTTCCTATCTTTAGATGAATACAAGTTTTAAGAATGAAAAAAACTAAGCATTTTTCTTGAATCCCTCTGTTCCTTGCCACTCAGTATCTGTTAAAATAGTTATGCATGTTACAGGTGCTCACGATAGAAACTGCATGATTAGTGGGCTGGTGAATGAAGAATATACCCTTGGGAAACAGATTAATCACATCTGAGATCCTGCATTAAATAATCAGAAGCCAATCATAGTTGTGCTCACTCCTTTATTGTGCAACACTTTCTGAGATGGAGTAACTACTGTGGCATCATACAAACATATCACCAATTGCAGCAAGAGCAGGAAGGATCAAAAACGAGGCCAGCCTGGCAGTGCTGAAGGAAAGTTTGTCCATTCAGACAGTTGTAGAAAGCATTTCTGTTAGTGGGATCTGGGTACAGGCCATTGGCCTTGCTGGCACAGAATCCACTGCCACCAGAGCTGCCCCCAGAGCTGCCCCCAGAGCTGCCCCCAGAGCTGCCACCGCCTGTGCTGGGAGCTTCGGTGATGGGAGGAATGGGCTGGTCTGGAGCTTTGCAAGCTGAAAGAAAGAAACCAGATCTTGAATGTCCCAGTTATAGTCGGGGATGCTAGCATGTAATATATATCTTAAATCATGTTCTTAGCTCTTCCTCCCGTAGCTCTGCATATTTCAGAAGAGCAAATTTTTGTGGGAGGGGAGGCATACTTGGCTGTGCTCACAGAATCATATGTGGTGCTAGAGATTGAACCAAGGTCAGTGACATGGAGGGAAAGTGCCCTACACACTGTCCTAACTCTCTGCCCCCCTCTGCATATTTTAGCTTCCCAATACTTCCCCTTCCTTCTTTGCCTCTCAACCCCTTCTTTAACTTTTATGGGATAGTTCATTTTTAATTCCTTTATAGCACTCAAGTGCTATAAAATTTCTCATTGTCACAACCTCAAATGTTTTAATCCTTTATGTGGTAATTTAATCACACAATATCTTTCTTCTTATTTATCTTTATAATCACATCTTGTCCATCATATATGTAATAGAGATTATGACTGATGTATTTGGGATCCCTTATGAATGTACAGCATATGGGATGAACATAGCTATATAAGACACACTTAAAAATTGCTTGAGAAATAAACAAATAAATGGTGGAAACCCCTATTTGATCACTCAACCATGAAGGAAGCTTTACCAAATATGAAAGGAGCAATAGGCATAAAGTTACTTGTAAAATGATTCCTGAACTTAAAAAAGTCTTTGAAATTTCTTTTAGATTTAAAGTTTGTGGTTTATTCTCAATATCTAACTTACTTGCACTCCGCAGGCCTAGGGCATCCTTCAGGGTGTTGATCAGAGGGTATTTGCCCTGGTTGCAGAAATTCCCAGTGAAGTCATCCAAATCAATGGCCCAAACCATAGCACCTCCAAAGTTATTCTTCTTAAGCCAATCAGCCTGTTATTGGTAATCAGAGAGAAATTCAATTAAGCTTTTATGTCAAGGCCAATGTATGGTTCTAGGTTCAAAAAAGGAACAAACTAACAGATAACAACAGTACACAGAAAAGAGTCTACCTTAACTTTGAAGCTCTTGGTGTTATCATATCCAACCCACTCGTTGCCTTTGTAAGCATAGGGGACTTCCTCGGAAGCTTCCCACATTTGAGTAGCCCCATCCTTAAGGAAGTTACAGATCTAAAAAGATATAAGAAAATGGTTAAAAGGTAGGGAAGGTGTCTAGGTCACAGGGGCAAAAGATAGTGAGGGAAGTAAAAGGCACATGTGAAAGCTATTTGGAAACGAAATCCAATCATTCTATCAATACATTTTTCTTTAAGATCATTTAAGATTTTGACACTGTCAAAAATAGTTCACTTAAATTTGATGTGGAGAGAAACTTTCATATCAAATACCTTGGCAGTCAGTTTAAAAGGGCCCTAGATTAATAAAATGTCCTTGAATATATATATATATATATATATATATATTTATCATTCTATTTAGAATCCAGAATAAATGACTCTTGTGATGATCCATCTAAAATAGTGCAACATGAATGCTTATTTTACCTGCCCTTTCAAAAGCCAAGAGATCTGCTTTTGGTCCTAATTGCTGAGGCCAAATATGTTTACTATTGTTTATATTGTTATATTGATGGATCAGAACAATACTATTTGTAGGTAACATACCTCATAGTAAGCCCAGAAACCATCCTGCCTGGTATAGGGTCCAGCAGGGCCAGGGCCAGTGGTAGGAGCACCAATTCCATGAATGGACGGGTTGCTCAGGATGAAGTTGTGACCATAAGTTGGGAATCCAACGATGAGCTTCTCAGCTGGGGCCCCATTGTTCTTCCAGTAATTCATGGCATAGTCCTAGAATAACTTTAGGTTAGCAAGAGGCTCCATACATTCAATAACTTAGTAATTATTAGCTAAGCTCTTCGGGTATGGTTGTACCTGTTGTACATAATATTTGCAGCAAATTTTAGATTCCCATTGACATGCCTGTGTTGAATTTATATCTAAACAAATTCAATTAATGTCAATATGAATACTTGATCCCTTCTTATTAAAAATGTGTCAGAAAAATATACAAGTCCCTGGGTTTGATTTCTAGAAAAGAGAAAAGGACATAGATTTTATGTGTGCAATTTTCCTGACAGTATCCAAAGATGAATGTCTAAAATTATCTATGCTACCTAGATATAGGATATTAGAAGAGTAAAAAAATATATAAAGCAAAAGGGGAACAAGAAAAGTAGAAAGATGGAACAATACATTTAATGTATTGAAGTATTTATAATGGTATATATTTTATTTAAAGACATTGTCTTCTATTTTTTCTTATCTGAGAAAATTATCAGTGCAGTACTGATTACCTGGTGAATTGTAAGTGGAAATGAAAACAAATTAGAAGCTTCCCATACTTGAGTAACCCCATCTTTAAGGATGTCAATATAATTTCCCTTTTGAAAAATGAAATTTAAGATGCCTTTCTCCCCCAGATCTCCATGTGACTGGCAGCATCATTCCTGGCCTGCACCTGCAGTTGTGCAGGTACTTACCACATTGAGGTAGGCGTTGCTGCCAGTGTCAGTTGGGTATTTGTAGAGGGGACTGTTCTCACCAGTGTAGCCCTCCCAGGAGCCATGGAAGTCATAGGTCATGACATGAATGAAGTCCAAGTACCTGAGGTGAAATAAAGGCTTTTAACACCTTTCTGCACGTCATCTCCTATTTTTATGCAGGCAAAGGGATACCATTTCTAAAGGCACCCAAACAATGTCTCTTGGCAGCATGGTAGAATTAAAACAAATCTGTATGGTACAATGATACCTATAGGAGGAGGAAAATCTAGAGCATTACTCACTGGGACAGCTGAGGGATATCATAACCAGACTCAATATTGGAGATGCCAGCAGCTACAGCAGCAGTGACCATCAGTCTGGGCCTGTTGACTTGCTTAGCTTCCTGCTCAAAAGCTTCACGCATTTCCTAGACAAACGTAGGGGAAATTGTATTAAAAAAAAAAAACCTCTTTATTGATCTCATGACTACTTTTTTTTTAATTAATCTCTTCCATCCATTATTTTTTAATACCGTCCATAGAATAATGTCTTTAGATCCTTATGTCCTCTGAGAATGTAAAGGAACTAAGTTTTCTGAAAACTTAAGCAGTTTGATAAGAGACCTCATCGAGTGATTTTCAGTCCAAATAATATGTGATGTTGCTCACCTTCACCAGAACGGTGAAGAGGTGCTTGTCCTGGGGAGGGCTCCCACGGGAACCTGGATACTCCCAGTCAAAATCCAGCCCATCGAACCCATACTGGCGCAGGAATTTGATGACTGAAGTAATGAAAGTCTGGCGGTTCTCAGGAGTGGAAACCATGGTGGTGAAGCTGAGGAGATCCAAAGGTGGCAGCAAGGTGAGACTCTGGAGCCCCAATTCCTTGCAGTAAAATCAACGTAAAAAATTCACCTGGAAGAACTTACGGAGCAGTTCCAAAGTTCCAGCCACCAATAGCCAGGAGAGTTTTCAGTTGACTATTTCTGAGTAGAAAGGAGCAAAAGATGCATCAGAACAAATGGAAAGGATATCATTTCAACATCACCTATAATAATGATTCAATAGGAAAAGACTTTTGTGGCCTCTTTACTTGTTTTCTTCATGTTCATTTTCATTTCCTAAATTGCGAGAGTGGTTGGTGTAGTTAACCTCAGGTGTGTATGCTTAATGTCGATTGCAAAGCTCCTAAAGACTGAGTGCTTCATCAATGCCCGCCTTCAAGTGAAAGACTGTTTTTATTTGAATTTGCAGTATTTGAGCTTTTCTAAATCTCTCTTGGCAACTTAGATGGATTCTAATCGACAACCATGTCCCAGAAGTGAAACAATCCCTTTACCATTAAAATCAACACTGTCATGGAAATAATAAGAAAGCTTGGGATTTATCTGTGTGCTGATGTTTACTGCTTGGCTTATTTCACATTTCAGCCTGGAGGTTTTCTTTGAAGTTTCCCTGAAGGTTTTGAACCTCAGTTCTTTCCATACTTACTTGTTTTTCAGGCCATTGAAAGATTGGTAAAGGGTGACATCATTCCATTCGATGGTGGTGATCTCATTGTTTTTCATCCCAGCAAAGGCATAGATCAGGTGGGTACAAAGACAGGGGTCAATGTCTTCAGGCTTGAAGCGCCCCAGGCCAGGCCTATACTGGGCCCAATTGGTGAAGTAGCATGTCAGGTGGTAGGCAGAACCTGTTTACCCAGAGGAAGAGGGTAGGAAGATTACACATAGAACCCCCTGAGGAGTTTAAATTGCTTCAGAAACCACAGATTTCCAAATGACTTTCTTCTTTAAGTCTCAAAAGGAAGTGGGTTGGGGAAGATCTGGATGAGATTCCTGTATGGTGCAGTAAACCCATAATTAGCAGGTGAATTGGGGCTAAATTTAACTCTTCATGTTTGCTCTGCTCCTTAAAGAAATCTTAGAAATTCCAGCCTTTAGCTGAAAGGAAACCTGAAAACTGGAAAGCTCTGATTTTGATGTACTCTAGCCTTTCTACATGTTAATAATAGCAATTACTGATGCTTATTCCATACTTGTCTGTGCTAACCACTACTCTGAGTAATTTACTTCAATTCACTCATTAATCTTCACCCAAATATTATGAGGTAGGCACAATTATTTCTATATAACTCATTAGGAAACTGAAATACAGAAAGGATAATGGTATCAGTCTGGTAGGTACATGTATCTGTCTCCCTGAGTAATAATTCTATCCAGATGGAAATGAACTTTCTACTAAGAGCCATGGGAGCTGGCTTCTGGTTTAGTTCGCTTTGAACTCCAGAGAAAAGTTAAATGGCTCAGTTGTCTCAGTTAACTAGACAATGAAATGTACTAATGCCGTTCCTCTTTATCTCTCAGAAATTATTTGTTTTAAAGACTCAATAAGATAATAAATTGAAAAGTGCTTTAATTGAACAGGAGGTTAACTATGTAGATATCTCTCCAGCTTAATTTTTTTAGTTGTTAACATGTATCAGTAAAATACCTTCTAAATTCAACTTTGAGATGTCCAGGCCAATAGCCCCATCCCTTTAAACTTGGCTAGGGAATTTTAAACTCTCAAAAAGCTTAATATTCTTTTGTTTGAAGGACAGAGAACCATGCTGAAATTCCAAATTATGAAGAAACTGAGAAGGAATTGGGCTGGAGCGATAGCACAGCGGGTAGGGCGTTTGCCTTGCACGCAGCCAATATGGCCGACCCGAGTTCGATTCCTCCGCCCCTCTCGGAGAGCCCGGCAAGCTACCGAGAGTATTCGATATGCCAGACACAGCAACAACAAAAGTCTCCAATGGAGACGTTACTGGGCCCGCTCGAGCAAGAAACTGAGAAGGAATAATATAATGGTCCATCCCGAGAAAGGCACATACCTATCTCAGCTGCCAGCACAAGAAGTAGACCTGAAAGAAACAGAGAGAATGAGAGTAGCTATTAACAAAACAGCATTTTGTTCTTGCACTAATATTCAGCATCAGGAAACTTTTCTTTCATTTCACTCTTTGAGTCCTTTTAAGACCCTTTGCAAACTCTCCAGCCCACTGAAACTCAGAATTTCTTCTAAAAACACAATCTCTATATTCCATTCATAAAACCACTGGAGGCCCTTAAATATCCAAGGTCAAATGAAGGGATAGCAGTGCAAAGCTAACACCAGGGAAGAACTGCCTGACCCTGTACCATTGCTAAAAGCAATCATCTCAGGAGATTTGCCTTGAATTCAAAAGAAAATTTTGAGGGGCAGGAAAATAAGAGGGAGAGTATGGCTCAGACACAAGAGTTCTGATGCTCCCTTACCAGTGAGGAGGGTCAGCTTGGTCATCTTGCCTCAATAATAGAGACTGCTCTGTTCAACCTGCCTTTTATACACTCTTCCGCCTCTCCTGTGACCTATCAGATTTTCCTTTCTCTGTCTCTAAAGTAAATGTTGATATTGGTAGTACTTACAAAGCTCATATAGACTTAAGTGCTCATTCTTGACAGAAAAACAATGTTATCTGAATTTAACTTTACAAAAAGAATTGAATGAAGTCCAGAAGCCATATCAAAACACTCCATTATTGGAGTCATTTAAATAGCACAAAATGGTCTATGCATAGTGGATTCTACTCTGAATTGTGATGCAACTTGGTGACTATTTCATACTCTTTCACAAGCAGAAACATTGACTAACTGCATCAGTTGTTCTTTGCAGCCATATATTCAATCATTATGAAAACAAGATCACTTCTAAAGTGAAGGCCTGGAAGATTGTGGTCTATTTGTCTTTTTGCCCTCATATTCTTGTACCTTCTTTTCACTACTTATTTTCCTCTTCTAATTCCTCCGACTCATTCCCAACTCTATCTGTGTGAGGTGGTCATGACTTGATTTCTTTATGTTCAGATTCTTTCTCTCTATGACACATCCCTGGGTTTAGAGTGTCTTGGATTCCTCCAGAGCATATACCCAGCCACCAGGCTTGGAATCTGGATGGTGATAATTTCTATTTGGTCAGTTCCTTTAGGTCAGTACCTCCTCTAATGCCCATTATTCTGTGAATGGTTTCAAAGTTATCTTGGTCATTAAGGCTCTCACCACAATAGTCTTTTTGACTCATTTGTTTTCTTTACTTCCTCTTCTTTCTACATTCCATTGATAAGTGAGACCTATAATGAATACTTCAGTTCTTGTTGCTTGTTGTCCCTTTTTCCCCTTTTGTTCCTAAGCACCCTCATATCAGCTTCCTTCATTCCATTCCCCATTTATACTGCTCTCAGGACTTAGCATCCATGAGGGTGTTTTGTAGCCTCCTTTTCCTTCCAGATATATTCTATGTTTGACCTCAATTCCCTAAGATCAGATATAATGGCTCCACATAGTTCTTTCTCCTTCAGCTGTCAGCAATGCAATCCTACCTGAATCGATTTAACTTTCCAGACTCACTCCCTGCTTGGCCCTCTGTATTAAACCTTACTGTTCTCCATGACCAAAAACATGTTCATCTTCATGCTTTTGCTGAAATCCTTCCTTCTGCTATTCAGAAGTCTATTTCTCTCTTGCACCTGGTCATCTTTAAAAGCTCAAATGTTTTCCAACCCCACAACTTTCCCAGTCATTCAAGGTGGAGGTGAGTACCTTCTTCATCTCTGCTTCTCTGGAACTTCGTTTCTACAATTTAGTAAATTTATTGCTTATATTTATGGACCAATTTGCAGAAAAGTAGTATGGGGTGAATGCAAGGATCACACAGATCAGTTTTTAATTTTTTTCTAACACTTCTTACATATGTAAAGTTAGAGAAAGGCCCCTAATATCAGTGTCTTCATTTGTAAAAGTGGGACACAAATGATTATTTTGCAAAGCAACCCTTGGTTTTTTCTTTTGGAGCGGTGGGAGGGCAGACTGACTCAGCAATGCTTAAGAGGTTCAGGGGTCACTTCCAGCAACACTGACCCTGCTGTGCAAGCCTGATGGTTCAGTGCTCAAATCCTGCATGTGGCACTTCTTGACCTAGCAGTGCTGGGACCATCAGAACTACACCTGGCAACATTCACGGTCCACATAGTTCCAGGGATCAAACGTTGGGCTTTGGTGTGAAAAGTATGTCCTCCACCCCTTTTAGCTATCTCTTCAGTTCCTGCAAGACAATCCTTTACTTTGGAGAGGTTGGGTCACACCTAGCAGTGCTTAGGTACACTCTGGTTCCATGATCAGTGAAGTCAAGGGATAGACACAGTGATGGAGATTGAATGGGGGTTGACCGGTGGCCGTAAGCCCTGTACTATGTCTCCAGCCTTGCTTAAAGGCAATATTTAGCATTAAACAAAATATACACAATATACACAAGTAAACAAATGCATAAAAAATAATATAACATATACTTTTGTGCCAAATCTATCCAGTTTGACTTCAAACCCTTAAGAACACCCAGTCATGGGCCAGAGAGGTAGCTCAATGGGTGGAATGCATCCTGTGTATGCTGAAGGAGGCCTGGGTTCAATTCCCAGGAACATATGGTCCCTTGAGCAGTGCTGGGAGCAACCCTCAACACAGAGTCATGAGTCACCTCCAAACAATGTTTCTCTGGGGCTAAAGCAAAAAAAAAAAGAAAAGAAAAATCCAAAAACTTCAGTCAAAGTCATGTTGTACCTAAGTTTATTTCTTATGCAAATGGGATATTGCAAATAACCATTCATTGGACATTACATGAATTAATTTTAGTAGGATAGCTATCATATTTTATATGAAGGAACAGGGCTGGAGCGATAGCACAGCGGGTAGGGCGTTCGCCTTACAAGCGGCCAACATGGCCGACCCGAGTTCGATTCCTCCGCCCCTCTCGGAGAGCCCGGCAAGCTACCGAGAGTATTCGATATGCCAGACACAGTAACAACAAAGTCTCCAATGGAGCCGTTACTGGGCCCGCTCGAGCAAATCGACGATCAACGGGAGGGCCTTTACCTTTACCTTTATGAAGGAACAGGCTTGTGCCAAGACACATTTTGGGTAGGTTTCTTCCCGTATCTTTTAAGTTGAACCTTGTAGAGACTGTCTAGATTACTTCTGCCTTAGTGGAGCACTAGGAACCACGGAGTGGATTTTACATGAATCTTTTTGCAATCTGAAAAGACTGCTGTAAATCTCATATACATAAATGTGAAATACTGAAGTAGAGTGAAACTCAGATACACCTGGAAGTAAGGTAAGAGTTATTTTTTTCATCTTGTACTCCAATCTTCCCAGATTACTCTTGGTCACGCCTGTGTCTCCCCAGTTGATCTGGAGAATACTCAAAGCTTTCTTCTCCCCTTCCCTTTCCTTAAGCAAAATAGACGAGTGATGAAATACTAGATAAAGGAAATAGAGTATTCTGGCTCCTGTGTGTCTGCATTCAATCCTACTTCTGATTTATTTTGGAGTCCCAATCCTTGGAATGAACCTGCACTCACTCCCAGAATTTAAAGCTTTCAGGTGAGTTTCACCAATATTTGTCCTTGTTTAGTAATGGATCTGGTTTCTTTGAAAGCCTCCCAAGCCTGTAGTTGGTAGGAAAGCTTTTTGTTTCCCTGAGGGCCTTAATATTTCTTTATTCTGGCATCTCTTTCAATGTTAAGAGCAGACCTAAGGTTATGATTCCAGGGCAGTGCTGGCAAGCTCCTTAAAGCACTAAGAATTATGATCTCTACATTTTCAGGTGTAGTGATTGAGGCAGGCTGGAAGATGGAGGCTACTACAATATTTAATTCAAACCCAGGTATTCTGGATGAGAAAACATCTTGGACCTGACATATAGGAGAGGTGTAATGTGAATTATATCACTCACATGCTCAGAGACTTGGGGAAATAACAATCTCTCATATTCATTAAATTATTTGGGTGTTTTTCCAGATACATCTGGCTGTGATCAAGACTCCTGGTTCTGCATTCGGGTTACTTCTGGTGGTCTTGGAAACCATATGGGTTCCGGGGATCAAACCCAGGTTAGCCACAATGCAAGGCAAACAACCTACATGTTGTGCTACCTCTCTAGTCCCTTTTATATTACATATTTGTAACAAATTATTTTAATGGAAACATCTTAGAAACACTAACATGCTTTTATCCTGTCCCTTTTCCTTGTGCCATCAAGCTTGATACTAGAATATATAACAACTTTTTATGGTAGAAAAAATAAACAAATTCTCAAATTTCCTATAAATTTTTTACTAAAATTTATTTGTCTGAAAACTGCAATATGAAGGTTATGCCCTCTTATTTTCAATTTCATGTTTTTATTGTCTCAAAAGATGAAAGAAAACAAAATAAATGTGTTCAAAAGAATTATATATTCAGTTCTCTCTGTTCTTTGGAGATGCCAATTGTCAAATGCAGATATCAAGATCTTTGTGAGACCCTGATGGGTAAGATGATTGTTCTTGAGGATGAACTCACTGACACATTTGAGAATGTCAGACTCAGAATTCAAAACAATAAAAGATTCCATCCATCCAGAACCACCTGATTTTTGGGACAAACAGCTGGAGAATAGAAGCACTACTCAGACTGTAACATCCAGAAAATTTCTACCCTGACCTTGTTACTTCACTTGCCAGGTGGCATAATTAAAACTTCTCTTCTTGAAATCACACAAAAACAAAACTTTAAACACACAATCTGTCCAAAGTGTTTTGGCAACCGTACCCACAGTAAACTGCACCAACTTAACATGCCAAGAAATTCAAATCTAGTCCATCTTTGCATATCTAGAGCTTCAACACAAGTACCATGGGCTTGGTGCTTTGTAGAGTTTCTTTTCAGTGGACTGAACAGTAGGAAATTTTTTATAAATAGATTGTGAACTTAAACTTAAATATCACAGTAATTACAATGAATGTAAATGGGTTAAATACCCTAGTTATAATTCAAAGAATGACAACATATTTTTGTTTGTTTAAAAAGTGCTTACGTGTATGCAAGAGATGTACTTTAGGGATACAACTATACTGAAGTAAGATACTAGAAAAAGCATACTACGTAACCATTAACCAATGAAAGCTGATCTAAGTGTTCTGATATCAGACAAAATAGACTTTAAATAAACACCATCCCTAGAGATAAAAATAGGAAAAGGAAATAGAAATACTCAAAATGGCTACAATATACAAATTGGTTGAAATTAGAGGAAAAATAGAAAAAAAATCCATAATCACAGAGGGAGAGTTTAAGTTTCCTCTTACTGTAACTTACCAAGAAACTATTTCCAGGAGTGCGTGGTTAATAAATTTGATCTAATTGGTATACACAAAACAGTGGATATAGTTGCACAATGCCATTCTTTTCCAAGGACACATAAGGGGAAGA